ACACCTCACAGGCAGGGACTGCACCAATGTCTGGAGCAGCCACTGTGCGCGGGGAACCCAGTCCATCCTCGACAGGGGCTGGCGGGGCTTAGGGGCCAAGAGCTGGGAGCCAGTAAAAGCCCCAGCCGCTACCCAGATACTGCTTAATTAGTTAACCAGTTAAATGTTAGATTAACCTAATGTTTAACCGTCTAATTAACTGGGATTTTACATCCCTAAAATAGTTGTATGAAGGTTGAGTTTATACTGACTTTGCTAGCATTTTTTATGTAGCCTGTTGTAAAACTAGGTGAATAACTAGATATGTTGATGCACCCTCTGAGAGATTATTCCATATCTTCAGGATTACGTATACATCTGGTTCAAAACCAGTGGGTAAGTCAGGCCCAGCCTTAGGGCAAGGTGGGCAACGCAGTTGCCTTGAGCCATGTGCCTTCAGGGCCCTGCACTACCCAGTGTCCGCCCACCCGCTCACTACCCTGGCTGGGTGCTGCCCAGCCACGCAGTGCAGCCAACCACAGCATGCTGCCTTGGACCCTGCAAACTCTTTTGCCGGGCCTGCGTTAAGTAATATCACTTATTGGATCCATCTCTTACTGGGTGATACACAAGCTTTTAAATTACAGAGCTTTTCTTCTGGTCTGGGAAATGTATTCAGTGCCTCAGCTATATACAAGTTGAAACAGATTGTTCAGCACAAGTAGTTAGTACATATTTCAAGGGACCATTCAAGGTGAAGTGGCCTATTAACTCGGGATGTAAATATTAGTTTAAAAAGTTAACCATTTAAACAATTAAAATTATATCATTTAACTAGTGAACTGAGATTGCTTCGGTGAGCTGGCTAAGAGTAGCCAGGACTGGCGTTCCAGGGTACGTCTAGACTATAGGCTTTTGTCAACAAAAGTTTTGTCAACAGATACTGTCGACAAAGCTTCTGTCGACAAAGAGCGTCTAGACTACATCCAGTTCTGTCGACAAAGCAAGCCACTTTGTCGACATGACAGTGTGGACGCAAAGGACAGTGTAGATGCAATAATGCCTTCTGTCGACAAAACTCTGTCGACAAAAGGTGTTATTCCTCGTAGAATGAGGTTTACAGCTGTCGACAGAACTCAGTGGCAGTGCGGACGCAGGTATAGTTTTGTCGACAAAAGTGGACTTTTGTCGACAAACCACTGTAGTCTAGACACACCCCCAGTGGGGCTGGCCAGATACAGCCCACAGCTGTTCTAGGCTGGCTGGCACTCTGTGGATAGGGCTGGGGTCTCACCTGCAAGCCATGGACAGGAGTGAGGCTACTCCTGCCCACTGCAGCTGGGACTGCAGACATGTTTGAGGTCCTGCCTATTACCTACGGATGGGGCTGGGCTGGGGCTGCTCCAACATGGCTGGGGCCAGGATCCTGCCTGCCTGTTCCATGGCAGAGGTTCTGCTAGCAGGCCTGACCATTGTCTCTTGGGTCCTGGCTGGCCACTGTGGTTGGGGCAGAAGCCCCATGAGTTATATTACCCACTGCAGCCAGGGCCCTACCTACATGCTTGAAGTGGCCAGGGCTAGGGTCTCTGGCTGGCCAGCCTGATGTGGCCAAGGTTAAGGGGTAAGATCTGGTTAACAGTAAGCCTAGTATCAGTTAACCATTTAAACTTTTACATCCTAGTATTAACACCCTTCATGGTACATTAAGGTAAAAAATTTCACAAATGACCATAAACATAAAAAATGTCCAGTTCTCTACTGTTGTTATTATTGATACAGCTTCTTCTATGGTAAGAGTGCTGATTTTAAACAGTGTGCTGTCTACATCTGCTCTGAGTAGATTTAGATGACATGATGGTTAAAACATGGGTTGGTCTATACCTGTGCTCCTATATTCACTATTTTTAAGCTGCTACAACCATAGCAAGAGTGGGAAATTAAAACAACAACAACAACAAACAGCTAGTGAAGCCCTGGGCCCTTCTTGTCAGAGACACCATTTCATTTAGTGGGTGTTCATCACTCTGAAAATTAAGATGTGTTTCAGGCTGAGAAGAGGAAACTAGAACTCCAAGAAATGTTGGACTTTGTCTTTAATAGGATGAATAGTATGAACTTTTTTTATCTTGGCCAGTTTTATTCACAAGATGCATGGTGTTACATAACCACCTCAGGTACCTATATAAGAACAGTCATACTGGGTCAGACAAAGGTCCATCTAGCCCAGTATCCTGTCTTCCGCTAGTGGCCAAAGAGAGGTGTCCCAGAGGAAGTGAACAAAACTAAGGATGTTAAATTTTGATTAATTAATTGAATAGTTGATGGGATTTCCATCGACTTTTCGATTAGTCGATAAGAACTTCCACGTTCCTCCTTTGAAATGTACAAGAACCCCAGTGGGAGCTCTTGTGCTTTTCAAAGTGGAAGCCCTGGGGTCAACGGGGGACCCCTGCTAGCGACTCTTGTACATTTCAAAGCTGGAATGCCACTTGGAGCCCAGGGCTAGCAGGGCCTCCCCACTGGTCCCAGGCTCTATGCAGCATTCCAACTTTAAAATGCACAAGAACCCCAGTGGGGGCTCTTGTGCATTTCAAAGCGGAAGCGACCATGTGGAGCCTGGGGCCAGTGCGGGATTCTGAGTCCCCCACTTACCCCAGGCTCCATGTGGCACTTCCACTTTGAAATGTACAAGAGCCCCATCAGGGACTCTTGTACTTTTCAAAGTTAGCTGCACTCCTGCCCCCTCCCTCGGAGCTAGAGGGAACCAGCTTTTAAGCCGGCTCCCTCCAGCACCCGCAGAAGCGACCATGTGGAGCCTGGGGCCAGTGCGGGATTCTGAGTCCCCCACTTACCCCAGGCTCCATGTGGCACTTCCACTTTGAAATGTACAAGAGCCCCATCAGGGACTCTTGTACTTTTCAAAGTTAGCTGCACTCCTGCCCCCTCCCTCGGAGCTAGAGGGAACCAGCTTTTAAGCCGGCTCCCTCCAGCACCCGCATTCTCTTCCCTTTGCTGGTGGTGGTGTAAAAAGCGGGGGGGGGGGGGGGGGGGGGGTGGAGTGACTAGTCCATGGACTATTTGATAAGCTTTTGCTTATCGAATAGTCAACTAGTTGATTAGTCACTTACAACCCTAAACAGAACAGGATCACCAAGTGATCCATTCTGTTGCTCATTCCCAACGCTCTGACAAACAGAGGTTAGAGACACCATTCCTGTCCATGCTGGCTAGTAGTCATTGATGAACCTATCCTCCATGAATTTTATCTAGTTTTCGAACCCCTTTAAAGTCTGGTCTTCACAACATCCTCTGGAAAGGAATTCCATGTGCTGTGTGAAGAAATACTTCCTTTTGCTTGTCTTAAACCTGCTACCTATTTCATTTGATGACCCCTAATTCTTGTGTTATAAGAACAAGTACAGTAAACTTCCGATAATCCGGCACCTTTAGGACCCAGGGGGTACTGGATTATCAAATATACCAGACTATCGGAAGGGGGGGGCTATGAGAGGTCTGGGGAGGAGAGGGGCGGTGCTACGGGACCAACCTAGCACCCCAGCTGCTTTGCCCTGGGCGTCCCGGAGTCAACCGCTGATCACTACGGCACTACAGAACCAACCCAGCAGCACCCCAGCTGCTCTGTCCCAGGCGTCCCCAAGTCATCCGCTTCTGAAACTGACCAGCGGCTGACTCGGGGAAGCCCGAGGCAGAGGAGCTCCAATTGTCCCGCTGGCT